GAAAATGTTGCTGGAGAGCAAGGCCTTGCTCTCCAACAACTTTTTCCATACAAATCTTCTTATTCTTTTAAAAATTCAGACTGTCATAAAATCTCATTCATTAATGATTGGGGCCTCAAACTTGGCCAATTTGATATTTTCGACATGCTTTTTCCATTTCTCGCATTCGTTTAGTTATAGCTCATAATTTTATGAAAAATAGGTCACGTGATGACTTACTGCAAAGGGCCTATTGTTTAAATCGCTAAGAATAATTTAAAAATCAATAACTATAGATTACTTACTATAGATTATCGATTTTATCGATTCAACACGCCCACACTAATGACACGAGCCAGCCCAAAGAGCCTTTGATTCCTTACCTCACCCTTGTATTTTCTGTTAATAACGAAAACCTTTCCTCCATTTCGTGCGGATCTGACGATAGAGCAGCCATGGTTTGAAATCATTCAGCGGTAGATTTCATCGGGCTTCTAGTATGTGGTATAAATACTGCATCACCCGAGGCTTTGAGTTTTCAAAGGTACTGCGGAAAACAAAATGGCGGACAGTTGGGTTCGACAGTTGTTGTTAATTTGAACTCAATTTAATTATATGGTTATAGTCTAATAGAACCCGCAAATATTCAAATATCGAGTGTGAGTGTTTTCACTATTTTCAACGCAACTGTTTGAAAGCAGCCGAAAGCCTGGCAGCATAATATGTCTGTGAATTACGCAGCCGGCCTTTCTTATTACCCCCACAAAGGAAAGTGTGGATTGCCTGAGGTACAATATATTAGATCTTGCACTGAATCTACTGTTTGAACAACAATAAACAACATTTCTTTTTATTACGGATACGTTTTCCTGTTTTTATCCTGTAGGTTTTCGATTCTCCCGAGCAGTTCGACCAAAAGATGGCAGAATTCACAAGGGTTGTTCGCGAGTCCAAGTACATTGTGTTTCACACAGGAGCGGGTGTTAGTACATCAGCGGGAATCCCTGACTTTAGAGGACCAAAAGGAGTATGGACTTTGGAGGAAAAGGGAATAACTCCGCAAATGGAGACGACATTTGATGATGCCAGACCATCTCTGACTCACATGGCTTTGGTCAAACTCGTGGAAGAAAATGTCGTTCAGTACGTTGTGAGTCAAAATGTGGACGGGCTGCATGTAAAGTCGGGACTTACAAGGTATAAATATCTGTTCAGGGAGCGAGTGAAATCCTCTATGAAAAGCTCATTAAATACATTGTGATTCAAATTCATGATAAATATTACCAGGGTATGTCCAGTAATATCAAGTGAGTGGTGGAACATGAGGAAACATCATTTTGTCCAGAGACATGTGACATAAGACGGTAGTTACTAAACAAGGAATGACCTAAAATGATCTTGACTGATGTCTAAAACGACCTAAAATAATCAAAAATAACCTTGACTTATGTCTAAAATGATGTAAAATAACATTTAAACTAAACTGGAACAGTTTAAAATAGCAATTGCCAGCAATAGACAACAGAAGGTATCCGGTTGTTTTGCCAATGAGTTGTTTCGCGAACGTCTCGTTCGCCAGCGTCTTAGGTTGATTGGCCAACGTCCTAAGTCGCTTCGCCAACGTCCTGCTGGTCAATTCGCCAATGTCAGGTATCCAGCACTAACGAAAAAAAAAAAAGCTGCTTGTTGATGTTTGGAATGCAATCCTGATCTTTGGGTGATCCTTGACTGACTTTACATCAATTTGCATGTTTTTGATAGTTTCACAAGCCGGCTCATGGGCACTACATCGCGGTAATTTTCACAGTGAAAATATGACTGTTGAATACCAGAGTTCGATGGCTTCTGATGGCTTCTTAGCAGGAGGGGTAGTGTGGCAGATTCGCACTTACTATTATAACAGCTTAGGATATTCACACAATATCCAGCTTCGGTTTGTTTCGAGTTTGAAGAGACATCAAACGATTAGATGATGAAGAAAAGAGGTCAAAGACGTTGGCGAACGAGTCGTTGGCAAAACAACTTGTTGGCAAAACAACTGCAAATCAAACAGAACAACAGAAATGAATGCAAGGGCTGAGTGCTTACGTTTAAGTCTGAGACATGGAGCTCAGATGCCGTGAACATTTAAAGACTGAAGATGACTTGATTAATGCAAAAGATTTCAGAAAATTCTTGAGGAAATTCTGGATGATTACTGGCCAACTTGTGGACCACGGAATGATGACGTAAGCTTGCAAGGAGCTTGCTAAAGTATAGCACAAAAAATCGGAAAGCAGAGCGAGCCATGTCCTTTGCAAAATTTTTCTGCCCAGACATACACTCAGCTGACATAACTTGCTGATACTGGTTTTTAGCGCTAGGGAGCCTGTCCACTGGTTGACTGCAAGGATTTAGCTTATTGCCTCGAGATATGTTTCTGTACAACATTCAAAGAATAAAATATATATTTAGCCAAGCCTAAAAGTGGAGCTCCTGATTGCAATCAGTTAACCATAAAAGTAAAAAAAGATTTGTTTTTCATGGATCAGAAACTCAAAAAATGATCAACTCTTAGTCTGTACATGTAATTGAAATTATTCAGTGTGTGGTTGCACTATTTTTCTTTTCCAGTTGAAGACTTAATAGGGACTTTTCAAGAAAAGAGGGGTTAATTTGTGCCAAAACATTGCCCTTGTACATAGCGCCTCCTTCTCCCCCACAGACTAATAACCTGGCTTGAGAGGTCAACAGTGTACAATAAGAGTGACAGGCCTACACTCCCTAGCACATGTTTTAGTCATTTTGTTCATAGTTTGGTTTTAGCAAGTATCTTAATTTTGCGCAACCGCACTCTTTTGTAAGATATGAAGGGCGGGTCTTTGTCGATTATCTTGGTTTCACTTAGTATGCCACTTAAGAACACCTTAGATCATTGTACTTCTACCAACTGCTATTTTGGATCTGAGCATCATTTTTGGTTATTTTTATTTTAGAAAAAAGTCAAGGTTATTTGCGATCATTTCAAGGTCATTTTTAGCCTCTTCCAGGCGTTCAGTTAGTTGGGGCGCAGGGCAAAAAATGGTGAGCAGCAAAATAGGGGAAAAGCGCAGCAAGAGAAAGCAAAAGAGTGCCTGTGGGCAAACTTAACAAAAGGTCGTTCCAGTATACTTGGATTTGGTATACCCTCTGATTGGCCAATTTTGACAGGTTTTGTCAATACTCATGAGTTACTGATGCAGAAGAGAAATGCAATATGGCAGTGGTCAGAGTAAAATGAGGTAGACAGGCCTACACGACTCCTACAGTTCGTGACATTTGTACATTTGCCATTCTCTTTTCAGTCTCTCAACCTTTCTTTGCTTCACACGTGTTCATTAAGCACACTTTATGTTATGTTATTAAGGCTCGGCTGTTTGCGAGTACAGTATGTTGTTTCTTATAATAGATGTAGAGATCACTTCATGGAAAATGCGAGGGTACAAATTTTATTCATGAGTTGAGTTTTCTGATACGTATCAACAAGTGAATAAAATCGTACAAAGCATTTTCCATGCTGTAATGTGTTTGTTTCATAGGTACTGAGACTTTCTCGTGTAGTATTTGGTAGACAAATTGCAGAAATGGGGCAATGAAAAGTGTAAAAAAATAGTTTTAAATGGCTCATCAACAACTAAGTTAATGAAAGCTTATAAATTTACAAAACTTACTGTGTTCAACATATATCAATACAGTCAAATGTCTAGAAGCCTGTCATTTTGAATTCCTGGCTTCTGAACCATTGTCTTCATTGAACCAGTTGAGTTTGTTAACGCCAGCAGCGCTGGACTTGAACCAGCCTTTTCTTGCGAGCGAGTCTGCCTTTAAAAGTATTGTTTATGGCCAGGTAAAAGGGAGCATCATCTTGATTCATTTCCTTAGGTCTCTTCCTGACAAAAATTTGTAAACTGCGACAGGATTTCTTTCAGTTCCGTCGGTCACAAACATTTTCGGTGGTACAGCTCTGGCATCGCTGTAGTCTGAACCAGTTCTAGTTTTTGTCTGTCTTTCATTAAACTCCAATTACTCCACTCCGCTTGCTGTTTTGTGTAGCTTAACATCTCCCCAGCACATATCATGATGTTCTTTGTACCCATGGGAGTCCAAAGTGGAGAGTGTTGTTTAGCCAGAGCATGCTTAAAAGTGTCTCAGGACCACACATACTGAGCAAACCCTTGTTGTACAATACCTTTAACTCTTCGCTTGTCAAAGCTACCGATGCGTTGGGTTTATTTCCTTTTCCTTGTTTCTTTAGCTGTTTTTGCTTGGATTGAAGAACTTTTCTGGTTTTCTTAAAGACCAAGTCATTGATTATTCTGGTAGAATTGCCCTTTTTCTTCAAGTGTTGTTCAAAACTGGCAATTAAACTTTGAAGCGAAGGTGGTTCGTACTCTGTGTCATCTTTAGTGCGGACGGAGATGATAAATTGGCCAATGTTTTCATTCAGCTCAGCGGCTGAAATATCTTCAATTTTCTTGTCTTTGTCCTTCATTTTCAAATGTCTTTCAGGCAATCTTTTCTCTCATTCACTTTTTGAGTGGTATTTTTGTTTTCTTGTCCTAAAATAAATTCTTCAACTGAGCAAACAGAAACAAACCTTCCCTCGGCCATTTTTCAAAGCATGCAGGTTTTTGCGCAACGGCTCTCGGATGACATTCTCTTCAGTACGTTCATTGATCATTAGTGAAATTTCATCGTTTGCCTTCCTGATAAGACAAACGGTATTTTTTCATGGTGAAATTTTGTCATTCGTGCTCCTCATTGGCTCCATTTAGAATCAGTACGAATTTTATTCACTATGATTTTCATGGGTAGATCTCAGTACCTATGAAATAAATGACATTTATCTTTGTCTGATTTTTCTTCAGAGACTGCCATAGCTTTAGTTCGAGGCCATTGCGTTACTTTGAGAAAGAATGCCATGATTTTCCAGTCAATTCTTGTTGATCTGTATGGCCCCACAAATGATCCCAGCTTACAAATGATCCCCGTACTGCAAATGATCCCCAAATTATACCGCAAATGATCCCAGGACCGGAAATGATACCCAGATTGTACCATAAATGATCCCGGACTGGAAATGGTCACCTCGCCATAAACTTTGGAAATGTGAGGACTCAGGAATTTAGACAGTGGATTTAAATTTATGCAGTCGCTTTTTTATGACCGTGAAACTCAGAAAACAGTGAACATTTGGATTTGTTTTCAAAAGGTTAATTTGGTACTGAACCAATCACTATAAAGTTCAAGACACGCAAGAAAACCTAAAAACCACAAGCAATAGGCCACGTTCAATATATCAATATTCTAACATCAATCTGAGGCTTTCGGATCAAAATTGCAACTTTTTTAAAGTTTCCTTTGTCTTTCAATTCCCAAAAGAGACTTGGATACAAAGAAAACACCACCAAATGTAGAAGTTTGTCCTGAAAGCCTTGGACCCATGTTAGAACATTGATATATTGAACGTAGCCTGTTACCGCTGGTGTTTTAGTTTTCTCACCCTTTATTGGCTTTTTCCTTGCCGCACAATAATAATCTGTAACTATGTCTGGTATTCACGGTTTTCTGAGTTTCACAGTAATAATACAATATTTTGATGCAACAGTTACTATATGAAACGCAAGAAAATGTGCAGTATGAACAATTTGAATGCAAATTTCACAACTTTAAAAATGATATCCAACGTTATGCAATCCTGTGTTTGAAGTTTGTACTTTAGCTGGATCCTTCCCTGAATGACTTTATTGGGTCTGGGCCTGAGATGTATGGTAACACATGCAGGATGTATGTTCACTATATCCTCAAATTTGGAGACAACTGAGAATTCCCAAGTGGATTGACTACATTTTTACTACAGTAACTGGCACGAAGGAATCTTAGAGACTTTCGTGGGAGCCTGTGGCTATCTAGGATGCAGGTGTAAGAAGTGTACAGGGAAAAGTTCTACGCGGTTAATTAGATGGCAGAGGCATCTTCAAAGATTCATGTTTCTTTTTGCAGCACGTTTCCTAAATGAAAAATTTATGCAGTCGACACATGTCAATTTAGTATTTTGCGCAGTATGAGAAACGTTTTTTATTGCTGATTTTATGCCTGAGGTGCTTGTCTTTTCTTCACCTAGGATAATTAAGAAAATATGTATCCATCCATAGACTTTTCATGGAGTCCATGCCATT